GAAAGACTGCTTCTGAAAAAGGAAATCCAACTACGGCAGAGCAAAAGTGGAAACCAGCAGAGCTCAATGGCTCGGTTAATCCATCAAGGCTCTATCAAAGGTGGACAGAATGAAGCAGTGAAATTAGAAATTGAATGAAAATTCAGCAAAAGAAAGAAACTATGCAGAAGGTTAGCAAACATTAGAGAAACACTGTACTTTTCCATCGTCTGGTTAAAAAGAGTCTGAAATATGAACTCGATAATATTTATGAGCAAATCCTAACATCAGAAATGAATGATGTTCCTTAATTATGTTTTCTAATCAAAATAAGCAAAACTACTACTTCATTAAAATTAAGAGACGTTTGATATAAAGCTGAGAGATGATTATCATGCCAGGAAATTAGTTTTCTGTCTAAAAGATAAGGGACAATCTAATAGAATCATTAAAGCTAAAGGAGAGAGAGAGAGAGAGAGAGAGAGAGAGAGACAGAAAGAGAGAGACAGAGAGAGAGACAGAATTCTAAAGCTTGTCTGTGGGAACTAGCTGGGTTTGGATGACATATATGATGAATGGTGTTGCATTGGTACTGCTGCCCTCTCTCGCTCCACTCGCTGTTACCAATCCAGAGAGAGAGTGAGAGAGAGAGAGAGAGAGAGAGAGAGAGAGAGAGAGAGAGTGAGAGTGAGAGAGAGAGAGAGAGAGAGAGAGAGAGAAGATGAGAAGGAGGATGAAAAAACAGCAACAGCAGTGAGGGATGCTTCCTTTAATTAATCCACATACCAGCACAACCCCAGCACTGTGCAATGACAACACACTCACACACTCACACATACACACATGGCAAAGACACACATATATTTAAGTCAGAATCCATCCTTTATTTCTTTATTTTCTGTCCATCCTTCCACTGTGAGAAGACAACTCAGCGCTAAGAGTCTGAAAGGATGTGTAGCTGTAAAGAATCTGTTACTGAGAAAAGAAAATAGAGGAAAAAAAACAATAATCAAACAAAGAAGCTCCTGGTGTTCTCAGAACAATGAACTGACCACCCCAGAGTCCAGACCTCAACATCACTGAATGTGTTTCAGTCAAGCAGAAAATGTAACCAACATCTAAGAATGAACTTTGGAGGTGTGGAAAAATATCCCTGCAAATTTCTTTTAAAAACTGAAAGCAAGTCTCCTGAAAAAATGGAAGCCGCAATGATGGCAAAGAATGGACACATCAAATACTGAAAAAATCAAATTATATTTAGTTGTTGGGGTTTCTGTGTAATTGTCTGTTGAATGTATGTTTTCTTGCTGTGTAGCTGAAAAATGTATAATTTGTACTTTTTCGCTTTTTGACTGGAAATTAAATAAGATAGATAGATAGATAGATAGATAGATAGATAGATAGATAGATAGATAGATAGTATGCAGAACAAAGAGTTATTATTTTTCATATGTCTGCATATACACACATACACTATCACAATGAGTAGTCATGCATGACGTGATATTTTCACTGCAATATCTTTACAGTCTGTGTAAACATCATCAAAATTCACACCAGCACATTTAGCATGACTGCTTTAGAGGGCAAGAAATGCATAGAGGAGAAAAAAGCACATTTAGGGAAGTGGGTGAAAAATGAGAGGGAAAAGGCATGAAATTGAGAACGAGAAAACTTGCTTTGCTGGCGGAAAAAGGGGCTGGTCATTATTTCTCCAGCCTTGCAGGCATTGTTGAGGAGGCAGTGGTGGTGGCGGCAGCAGCAGCAGCAGCAGCAGCGTGTGAGCATGAGTATGTAGCACTCGCTCTGCTTTAAAGAGCCACTGTAAATAAAAAGCACAAGCATAAGCTTCTCAATAAATATGAATTCTCCATGAAAACTAGAGCATGGTGCATTTAGAGCAGTCCTCTGGCTCTTTCTGTTTAGTTCCATTTCTCTCTGTGCAAAATGCAACATAAACACTTCCACTGGGTGTGACTGTGACCGGATCCAGGATGAAATTTACACTACGGATAGGGTGATGTGAAAACTTTAAGCATTATTGCTTTGAGAATGTTGAAAAGCACTAATTTATTAGTGCAACGCTGTTCTCCCGCAGCAGCAGCATCAGAGATGATACAGCTTAAAAATAAATACATAAATAAATGCTGTTGAATTTCGATCATTAGTATCTAAAGTGCTCAAGCTTTAAAGTTCACTGTACAGTTATGTTATGAATTCATGCAGGGCAAGTTCACAGTTCATCAAGGGGGTCTAATGTTAAACGAGTGAAAAGTATTCATTTTGTCAGAAATTTCAAATTCAAGAAAATGAAATGGGACACTTGAATCACCTCAGAGATTCAAGACTTGATTCTGACTCGCACCACAGTGACTCAAGACTCAACTCTGATTCACACCCCAGACACTCAATACTAGACTCTGACTTGCACCGGAGAGTCTCAAGACTCGACTCTGACTCACACTCTAGACACTTAATACTCGACTCTGATTCGCAGCCGAGACAATCAAGACTCAACCTCAGAGACTCAAGACTGAACTCTGACTCGCACCCCAGAGACTCAAGACTTGACCCTGACTCACACCTCGGAGACTAAAGAATCGACTCTGACTTGCACCCCAGAGACTCAAGATTTCACATTCCAGAGTCTCAAGACTCAACTCTGGCTTGCATCCCAAAGACTTAAAACTCAACACTGACTTGCTTGAAGCGACTTTTGAATGACTCTGATACACAGTCATAGTAACATTCACGCATTTGGCAGAGCATCCATCCAGAGCAACTTACTATTTAAGCATTTTAAAGAGGTAGGTGTAGCATTAGGACTCTTGCCAAAGGAGTCTTACTGCTATAGTGTTTTCTTGTCCGGGTAGGCAATAAAACCCCAGTCTGCAACATGGAGGGCAGTGATGTTACCCACCACGCTATAGAAACTGCACATGGTTTAAAGTTGAAAAGGTATGAATACTATTACGTTTTATACTGCAGATTATCATTAAAACCCATAATCATTCCATCTCTACTCTGCAATGAAATGTAAAACCACCTTGTCACTCATAGTGAGAATCATTTATGAATATGGCTGCACGCTTTCTGGTCTCTCATTGCACAGACACTGCCAATTACCTTATTCAACTTTTAAAGTCTGAGGCAACTTTGCTTTACATCTATCTTCCTGCCTTTATGAATGATCAGAGATTATTGCCTTTATTTCAGTAACTGTCAGCGGATTTAGTCGCCTAAATGATAAGATAGCAAAAGCATATGATGATGAAGGGCAGATAATCCAACACAAAGCAGGATGAAAGAAGGGGTCAAATTGAGAATCTGAGGCACGTCTTGTTCAGAGCTTCTCCTGCGACTTCTTCAAAGACGCTGGGCTCCGTGTGAATTATTCCAGGCATTTAGCTTTCTGTTTGATGTTAGCCTGCAGAGTGGAGCGGAATATGGATTAGCCGTGGAAGAGCTATATGACCGAAATACACACACACACCATACAGAGAGCATACTTTTATGTATTCAAATGTGCATTTGTCTGAGTCGCATTTTTTTAGAAAGGCTTCAAACGTCCACATTCACATTCCAAGGCATGTTCCATTTTTCAAAAATATTTTATTTGTGATCCAGGTACAAGGAAAGAAAAGAAACTCAGGATTTGTTTATTTTTTGTATTTTTTGTATTTTTTTTTTTTTACAGGACATGGAAATGAGAATAGGAAAAGTTTGTTCTCTCTCCATTTTTTTATCCCTTTGTTCTTGGACAAGGACATGCAAGTGAATAGAGACGTTTTGCTTACAGGAAGAAAACGGGATGTAAAAAGGGTGGGGCTTCTGTACAGAGAGACTTCACCCAACATCTTTCACTGTTTCTTTTTTTTAATCTTTGTTTTGTTTTGTTTTTTTAACAAAAAAAGGCAACACACATAGAAGCTACAAAGATCTGTCAATATCGAGACGGGAAAGAGAGAGAGAAAGCATGGCTGATTCTTCCAAAATTAAAGCAACAAACAAAAATAAAAAGCTTGTTTTTGTAAACGGTAGCATTTCCATCAAGTTCATGTTTTCAGATGTAGTTTTCTTGGTATCGTTGAGGAAGCAGCATGGTGCACATACAAGTCACAAAAAAAATGATCTGAGCATTTCAGGTTTTGCTGAATCATCCAGTCTGAGTGTGAGCTTCGGAACAAAGTGTCTCGCATAGCTTTCCATGGCTGACAATGTAGGGATACAGCAGTTGGGTGGGGGAGGCTGAAGGAGAAACATTTCATATTCCACAAATTTTTATGCATTTTTCACAATATACCTTTATTATCTTAATAAATACAAAAAACAACAACACTGTGATTTTCAAAGAAAAACCATTAGCATTAAAAAAGACACTAAATGCATTAGACGTTAGAAATATCAATATTAATTTTGGTATGTTCTGTAACTGACATCTTTGTCTTATGAACATATGGACATAAAGTGTACCGGCACGTCTTCTGATGAGTTACAAGGCATGGGACTTCACCGTCAACAGGGGCAAAAAAAGAATTGAGACCCATCGGACACATGGGGGGGGGAGTTTCATTAGCCGACTTGGAATGAACTCTTTGTGTGAGGATACATATGAATATATACACATATATACACACACACTCACATGACACCACCAAAATATATGTAAAATAACCTGAGATACTCTCCGCACCTCATTTTCCGAACAACTGGACACTAGAACTGAAAGAGATGGGGGTTTATGAGAGTCTGGGAGAAACATGGACACGAGTGGACAACAGTCAGTCTCAGAAAGCCTTTAGCTCCGAGCATTCTTCAGCAACATCATTCATACGTAAAAATAAAAGGAGGAAAACTAAAAATAAAAAAAGGAAAGCAAAAACAGTCATTGTACCAGATTACTCTCCTGAAGGCTCAACAGTAAAAAATATCCTTTTTGAGCAACATTTTGTACAGTTTTATATAAAATAACCCCAAGAAAGACAAAAGAATATGAACATCAAATGAACTAAAAGGACCCGTGGCCAGTAAACTGTAGAATGTATCTGGTAGATAGTGGTCTGCCCTGTGTGGAGAGATAGGCAGTGAGAACCGGCTACTGCAGATATGCTCCTTCACTCCTTCAGTGAGTTCACCCACTACAACTTTGATCCGTGTCTGACACCTGCTAATACTTATCGCTAAGGAAACTCTGAAACATCACAGTTAGTTAGATACTGTTATGCAAATAGTGCATTGTGATGTCATAATGCCATAATTGTTAGCATATGCCAAATATGGTAATCTGTCACAGGTTGAGGGCTATGCCACAAATCCGTACTACGAGTGAATCAGTTCTCTGCATAGATAAAGATGTATCTGGAAACGGTAAAACCTGTGATGTGGCCTTGTGTCAAGTAAACCAAAGGAATTAAGTGCTTTGAAAATAAAACTTAAGGAATAAATATTTGAGATGATTCATAACGCCCCTCCCCGGAGGCTAAAATATTAGTGTTAGTGTTAGAAATGAAGAGTTGGACTTGCAGCCTCAGTCTAACTCATTTGCAGCCACAAGCTGACACACCTTCAGCATCACTGCAGGTGATATTATGGTTGATAAATGGATCAATAATCCAATTTAGGTTTCAGAACTAAGTTTACCAAACTTGAAACAACTATGGGTCTTGCAAAAGCACCAAAACACAAGACTTGTCTTCATGTATGAATTCTCAGTGTTTATAAGACCAATAGATTCACTGAACGGAAAACCATACAGGAAGACTAAATGTATTCTTGTTCATATGGCTTATAAATTGCTTGCGTTTTAAGTGCTTTAAGATCCATCTTTCAGTGGAGAAACTGAAAACAGAAAAAAAGAAACCATAACGAACATAAAGAGATCATAAATACAAAACTGATGAGGCTACAACCAGAGAGAAACCTTATTCACAAAGCTGATGAGATAATCGCCCGACAGCATCACTCACATTGTCCGTCTGACACCTGCTTGCTCTCTGATGGACAGAGAATTGGTGAGATATCGACTGATGTTCACAGAGGAGCAAGGCTGACATACACAAACAAGTAAACAACAAAGAACAGCGGCAGGCCAAGTATAATGGCACTAAATGAAGTTCAGTCTGGTGGCCCGCATTCGAATGGGCTAAATAAGACAAGGTGTTTGAATAGGACTCAGGGGTGAATAAGAACAGTTGGGTGTTTTGAAAACATGACCACTTTTGGGTTGACGTTGACGTTGCATGGGGTCTGACACCACTGCACTTGTCCAGCAATTGTCTGGCCAAGCGTCAGCATCTCTCTCTCTTTAGCATATTTCCAACATCGAGAGGGTGCCACCCTCTGTCATAGCCTCAGGAGAACCCCACCGCTGCCAACAACTTACGTGCAATTTTGCCTTTCAGCATCACAAATCCTAACACCCGCGCCGACGCAGGCGTATTTTAATATATCTCTGTACATGGCTATATATTTTCTTTTCTCTAGTTACAGTACAGCAACTCCTTTTCACATCTCCTCTCCCCCGGTGCTTCATGTCAGCGGGAGCTATGGTTTTTTTGTGCTTTTCACCAAAATTGCAGTGCAAAAAAAAACAGTTAATTATAATAATCATAATAATAATAATAACAGCAATTAAACCCATGAGAAGTATTAACAAATGATAAATGATAACAAAAATCATTTGTATGGCACCACAGCCTATCAATTCACATATAATACAAATGACCAATAGCGCATGAAGGGGGCGTGGAGCGTACAGAACCGGTTTGCATAGCAATGCAATAACAATTTCAAATGTTGAGAATATATTTACAGGAAATATGATGCCCCTTTCCAGTTCACAAACGTTGGGTGACTCGGATGATTCTTCCGATTTTCTTTTTTTTTTTTTTTCAATTTTTTTCTCTGGATGAATGGTTTGGTTTTGAAAGAGGAAGGTGTTTTGTTTGTTCTCGAAAGGACAGAAAACATCAAATCAACACTGTGGGTCGCATGTCCGTCTTTACATCACATTTACAGTTCGCCGTTTTCGTCTTCACCTTCATCCGATCTGTTCTTCCTTCTGACACTAGTTACGAGTCCATTGCACAGAGCAGGCGAGGCATCTCCAGGGCAGGTAAAGGCATTCTCCAGCTCACACACAGGGCTGCTCACTCTGCAGAAAACACACATACACATCCCTGAATCAAAAAACAGCAACTGACTAAAAACATGAAATATGAATGCAGGAGCGTCACATGCTGGAGCGCAATGACTGAGAAACATGAAGAAATACACTGAAATCTCGCCTTCCTTGCAAATTTTCCAAGCAATATTTGATTTTCACTGTTACTTCTCAACTAAGTAAAATACATAATTCAAGCACCACATATACAGAACATTGGAGGTGAACTTAAATAATGAATATGAGCTGTATGTTAATGTGAACTCTGGTGAATGGTGTAGAAATTACATCCATGTTATACATTTTTGGGGCTCAATTTTAATTTCTGTGGTAGAAAATGACAAAAAAAGCTAAAATGACAAATTTGTCAGTGTCCAAATATTTATATTTGATATTTTCTTTTATAAACTCAAACATGGTTTAAATACCTGTTTTCTTTTGAGTTGTCAAAAATATTCACTCTTGTCTAATTACTTTCCTCTTAGGAGATCTGCTTAGTATTTAAAGGGCCTATATCATGGAGAAGTTTTTTTTTTTTTTAAAAAAAAGAGTTTGATGTAGTACATAAATGCTACTGAGGTTTCAAAACATCCCATTTACCCCCAAAGCCCATACAGCTCATATATGAAAACTAAGCCCATTTTGAATTAATTCTTTTTGTGATGTGACAAAACCCAAATTTGGGTTTTGCACTCACGCTGTAAGTGGAGCTGTAGGACAGGCTCACTTGTATTAAACACAAACAAACAAAAAAAAAAACAACTAAACCTGGTTTTCCCCAGTCTTTAGACCAGCAGTGCACATTGTGGTTAGAAGTTGATGAATTGCTTTATTCCATCACATGGATTTTTACACTGATCAGGTCAATATATGATTAAAATACAGATTCCACCTAATTGGGTTTCTGATTATGGTGGAACATTATTGACGGGATTCTAGTCTTCTGACTAATTTGAAAAGAATGCACCTGAACTGAAGTGCATGTATAGAGTGAAGCCGAGTACAGACGTACATAACTCTCCCGAGTACTGTCCCTGGCCGTTGGTCCCCAGGTAGCTGGAGTCATGCTCAGTGTTGGCGCGCTGGTGCTGACCTCGTGAGCCCTCTCCTTTCCGAGGACCCGTCGAGCCTTTGGAGGACGCAGTCCCAGATGAACTGTGGCCCCCAGGGGATGGAAAAGATGGTTTGCTATAGGGAAGCATGGCCTCTTCTATAAAGAGAAATAAACACAAGCGCTCTATTAAATTATGTTATATTACAGCAAAATTCCTCCTAATTATAACTTCTAGCAGACGCTGGTTGTTAGGACCACCAAGCTTATTAGCAACACCAGTTTAGGCCTCATCAGACTTGTTATAAGAAGTCTAAAAAGCTATTGAGGTCCATATTAAAGGACAGCCAGGAAATACACTCTCTGACCTCTAAGCTCTTGCTTGTATGCTAGATCTTAATGATCTCACAGGCAGATGTACTGAGACACTCCGTGTGTGTGTGTGTGTGTGTGTGTTAGTGAAATAAAAACCAGGGTGATTACAGCACATCTGTGCTTCTAGCTTTGCCTCCAGTATGCCTGCGGCTGAAGAAGGCCAGTGCCGGCCATCTCAGTATTTACGAAGAGACAGTGGTTGCAGGCCAATCTGTTCACTGCATGAAGCCTAATTGAACACCAGGGTTTACATCTGCAGCTGCCAGTCTCCTAGTGACCAGACTGAGGCTGTAAGCTCACTTTCCCACGTCCAAGCTTGACTTACACAAGACCATACTGAATAATTAGGGTCTTAACCCAGAGCCTTTGCTACCCATAAAGTGCACAAAATATATTTCTCATAGAAAACTGATGAATTTTTATCACTATTAAGTCATGTTTTATCAATATTACTGAATGAATTAGGTGTAAACATCATTTAACGGAACATTTTAGCCTAATGCCTAATTCACCCAAAATGTAGTCAATCTGCCTAGATATTTTTGGTGTCTGATGTTTGCTTTTCCAGTGATGAAAGCTTATACTACACTCATCAGAACTGTGCAAATCACATGCCTAAATCATAATAATTACCTCAAATTGTGTTGAGGCGTTAAAAAAAACTTAGATATATATCTAAACATAACATATATACATACATACATACATACATACATACATATACTCTCTCTCTCTCTAAATATATATATATATATATATATATATATACACACACACAACAATGTTATCTAAAAAAATGGACAAAAGTACAGACAAAATTCAAGCTTGAAGATGGTTGCTATTACTCTTTTAGCTATGACACAACATGTCACATGTGACTTGACATGCAGCTGTCTATAATAAGAAAGTATCTTTTGACTGGCATTCAGTGAGTACTGAGGCCTTATATAAATACTTAATACACACATCTAGTTCATTTAAAACACCTAGAACAACAATGCCGTTCTGCAAAGTTACCATGCTGCTAGTACTGTTTTTTAGCTATCCAACATACTTTTGTTAATTTTTATAGCCACGTATGTCATACAGAGTCAGAAACCAAATTTTCCATTGACCAGAAACCATTACTTGTTAGCTACATTAACCTCCCAGCTTTATTGCAAAACTGAAGACGCAAACTCTGAACATCTTGAAATCTGTATTTTGTATGTTCCGTAGTTAGTTTTATAGATGACAGTGAGTAATTCAGCATCTATAAGACTGTACCTGAGGTTGGGCCGTTCTTCTGCGCTCTCCTAGCCTCCTCTGCTCTCTCCATGGAGCCCAGTCTCTCCTGGGCCTGCCGGTGGCGCTCCAGAGAGGTGCGGGCCTGCCTGTCCAGAGAGCTCTTCACCTCCTCCAGGCCGGCCATGGGCTGCCTCTCCAAAGACGAGGCCTTACGATCAACAGGGTCGCCTACATTTCCCACGCTCCTCGGCCCCTGAACACGTGGGCCCTGACAGGGTGGGGGTTCTGGCGGTGGAGGTAGGTCTGACACACACAGCAGAATATCAGCAGGGTCACATTTTTTACACAGCATAACAGAGAAGAATGATTTCTGCAGGTGTGGTGCCTTGTCACTCCATTTGAATGAAACACCTGCCAGTAGACTCTAACTGTGTCAAGCTTTTTATAATAGTAATATGGTAACAGTACTGTGACTCATTATGGCAAACCACTTTTTTTGAAGAAAAATGAGCACAAATGCATTTTGACAGTTAAAAGACACAGTGCCCTTGGCATCAATATGAATACAAGAGCCGCTGTAACCTTGGTTTCCACTTCAGCCTCATATTCGTTTTATGGTGCTGCAGCACTAATGCTAATTGCATAAATCAAATTTAAATGTATACATTTAAAAAGATGATTCTTCAGGGGTTCCTTAGTAAAGGCAATGAATCTATTTTGAATCATGGGTTCTATATAGAACCATTTGCATGCTGGTGGAGATGGAGAATGTGTTGTCTATTTTTGATTATGTAATGATTATGTCAGGTTACTTGTACTAAAGCTTTCTTGAAGATGGATTCTTTTACTAGAGGTGGATCTGTAATGTAATTTGTAAGAGATTTGACTCTTCAATTCATATGGGATAAAATTATCTATGCAATTTCCCCAAATTATCACATAATACCCAGATTAAAATGTCATATCCTGGATGTATACGTCAGTGTTATGCCACAGGTGCCACGCTCAATTCCAATAACAACATTGCGCATAGTTATGACTATTAGCATAATAGTTACCACAAGGCTGATTTGAACAAGATTGCTATTACTGTGGAAGCTGTGGGTTCAGCCAATGATTGGCTGTTCACTCTGCAATTATTACAGTTAGACTTACAAAACATTAGAGATTTATAAACTACAAACATTAGAGAGTCATATTGGACTAATCACAGAAATCCTTGGAGAGCATTTAAATTATAGTATGCCCCAGGTGAAACTAATCCAGCTTGGACCTGTTGGATAGGGCTTGGGTCATCCATTTAATGATTAAGGTCTGATTCAGATTTGCTAATCAATAACCATGTTTACTAACACCTCATATCAGCTAATAGCATTGTTAGTGCTTGTTCAGAGATATAAAGAGGCTAAGGCTTCATTTTTGGTTCCAGTACTGGGCCTCACCATCAGCGCTGGCATCCCTGCGGTGAGGGGCAGTGCCTGGGCCTCTGTGTTTGCGGGCGGGTCGCGCTGCCCGCTGGTGCCCCAGACTGTGTGTGCCCATAGTGCTGCCATCTGTAGAGAACGGACTAGCAGGGCGAGGTCTCAGGGCCAGGCCTTTATCTAAAGGTAGACCACAAGAGAGAACATCAGTTATGAATCAGCTTTTACAGTTAAGGTAAGGTTTTTGGAAACCATGCTTGTGCTGTAGTTTAGCGCAATACACTCAGAAGGGAAGATAAAGAGAGATACTAAGCAACAGGAAGATGGAATAAGAACTAAGAGCATCAAACAACATCTTCCATCCAACTTTATAATTTGTGGAGGGTAAAATGACGTTGAGCAGTTCTGAGAATGTGAAACAGGCTTTGTGGAATCCTGTGAAGAAGTCTTAAGAAATTATTATCATCAAGGCAGCCATTCTGAAGAGTCAGTAAGAAGCACGTGAAGAGGCTAGAGAAATAAAGCAGAATGCCCAGACAGCTTATTAATCCCATGTTAATATCACACATTGGTACCATGCTTACTCCAGACCTCAGCTGCAGCTGTGAACTTCATTGTCTTTCACTGACACCTTTAATCTCAAACATGTACAGAATGGAATTGTAATGTCCCATTTAATGAGCCAAATAAAGTGTTAGTACCATGTTGCCATCAGAAACAGCAAAAAAGTCAAGGAATTCATAAGCAGAGTGATGGAACAACAGAACAGGCCACAGAACCAAGAAACAGCCAGAAAGAGAAGAAGGCAGTGCCGGCTTTCCAGAATAACCAGCAGAGATCCACATCATTAAGGTCGTCTCTCCCCTACACACAAACCTCTCTTACTGAGGCTGGTGCCGTCCAGCCGGTAGCCGGCTTTGTCTGCGGCCGCTGCCAGCGCCCGGGCAAAGCTGCAGTGGGTGAAGAGTGAGCCGTCTGAGGAGCTACCCGCACTGGATCTGTGGCTGGAAAAGGGCCTGTCATCTTCCTCCGATGCTGAACCCCAACCATTCACCATGGAGCCTACAAGCAGCCGCCACAAGGAATGAGTTCACCACACCCACTCAGTTTAACTGTGCAATGGAGAGGTCTGAGCAAGGTCCTGGCTACTCACTGCACTTTGTACAATGGCTAGATGTGAGCACACAATCTGACTGGTTGAAAAGTATTTTACACGGACTAAATTACAATATCAGTTGCAACATAGTATTTGCAGTGGAAGTTCTTTTTTGGCGAACGAAAATGCCAAAGCATGTATCTGAACAATGTTCAGGGCTTCTCTGCTTTATCTTTTTCTTTACTTTGCAAAACACTTAACGAATAGAACACTTGAGGTCATCTGTTATGGTGAATAATATAATGACTGTGATTTGATTGCAGAAGATCATTACAGAAGAGACAGGACACTCCGTTGATTGCTTAAACCATCTGCAAGGGGTGATTTCTTACATGAAAGTCACAATGGTTCATTTGTATTGAAACCCCATTTACAGTTCAGCTAACACTCCACTGTTTAGGGTTGTATCGGTTTCAAATAATCAAATAAAATCTCACCTATCATGCTGTGTCAAGATGACTGTGAAATTGAAACAATAAATATAAATTGAAAGAGCTAAAATGTGATGACACCTTGTTCTCTTGCCTTAGCGGCCTTCTTCTAAAAAAAACAAATAAAAATTTGAATGACAAGCCTCTGACCTGAACTGATACATATTCTAAATCTGATGTTCCTCTAAGTGATAGCCATTCATCACTTTTTCACTTTATGAACCAAAGAAAATGAAGTTGGTACAAAATGAAAAAATGTCCAGCAGTGCATGGTCCATTATCAAGTCCATGAAGCATTTGTCCATTCTGAAATTTCAAATCAGGATTTTGAATCTAATGTCACCCGATGATATAGCAAAGAAAAAAAATTAACTGCTTGATGTTATTGGTGGATTTTTGTGATCCTCTGATCACAGGTATGTGGCGTCCACCACTGGCCGCGCTGTGGTGAGAGTGCGGGAGGCACAGCCATGCAGTGTGGTCGTGCGAAAAGGCTCTTGGGAGGCGCCATGCTCCAGGTAAGGAGAGAGAAACTATTTATTGTTAATGTTGTTGTTGGTGTAAGATGTGCACATGTGCTACTGGGGCTACTTTGTGCTGGGCTGTGGGGTAGTTAGTGTTAGTGCCTACCATAAAGAGAAAATGTATGGCTAGAAGTGACCTGTTTGCTATCTTGGCCACCTGAGTATTGCTGGGCAGCAGTTGTCTCTTGCTGCCTGTTCGGTAAAAGAACATTTGCCCGCATGTGCAATGTTTCCCTCTGGTTCCTCTTGGCCTGGACGCTACAGGTATCATTTCTTAACTGATTCCTCTGGAGCTGCTAAGCTTTGTTGTGCTGTCATGGTAATGGTGTTCTGCAGTAGCCTGCTCCTTTCCAGAAAACTCTCATTTTCAGTCACCCAAGTGCAGTCTAGAACATTCAGCTCACGTGGTCAGGCCTGTCGGAGATGAACACGCACACACCTGTAAGTGGCCTGAGGTAAGACAGATGAAACAGTACACAAACTCATATCAAAGCTCTGTAGAGATTGTTAGTCTCTTCCACTGCTTGCCAATTCAAAGCAAGTCTTTGTGAGACTGACAGCAAAAACATGTCTGCAGAAGCCTGAAACAGACTGTGATCTACTAATGACCCAGAGGTTACATCTGTAGATTTAACAGTTGAGCTTTTTTTAAGCATTAAGATGTGTTTGTCTTGTAGTTGAAAAATAATTGTATTTTAACAAAATACTTAGTTTAACCCTTAGAAGTTGATTTTGCTATGCTATTTAGCTATACTCTTCAGTTATACACAATAATACTATGCTATGCTACACTATTCCATTCCAAATTACTTATTTAATTACATAGTGAGTCATTTGGGCACTCCTGGTCAAATGGGTGATTTTGTCGATTTTCAAATACACATCCTCTACAAGAAACTTCTGCAACAATGTAATGCAAAAATACTGATGGTTTGCTAATTTTAACATATTGCAGAAAAAAATAAAACCTAAAAATAAAACGTGCCTATGTTTTATTTCTTTCAACATGAGAGTGAAACTCAGCAAATACATTGGAATTGTGCACTAATTTGCAGGATAATGCCAAACTGTAGAGAAACAAACATAATGTTCACTTAGAAAATCAACAAAATGTGTAATTTGACCAGACATATTCCAACTTCTGAATGCAACTGTATATACTGAATGACATTTACATGTATTTAATTTTCATAAAATTCAGATCATATTAAAATGCCTCATATTCTACTTACAAACACAAATGTGGCATAATATAAAAACAAATAATACTGTAAAATTACAGCCTGCTTTTATTAGTGCCAGAAATCACAGTGACTACTAAGGGTTAAAGCAGGGTAAATTTCAGAAAATTGCAGCAGCACAGGAAAAAAATATATTTGTTACAAAAGAAAAACTCTCTAAAAGTCTTTTCCCTTTGCTGGCAGCTAAATCTCTTGCTCTGAAACTGCATACAGCTTTGCTTTACATCCAAAGAAAAGTTGCGTCCCTTGGGCCCATCTCTCAACAAAGCAACACAGAATGTAATGAATCAGACGTGCTGCCAAAGCGTGAGCCCAGGCCCTGCGCTGCTCCACATCAGAAGGACAGGCTCAGCAGAAAACAGCAGAAAACCTGCAGCAGACCTGCAGTCTGAGTCTGCTGCACTATCAAACGCCACTCTACACTAACGGCTCCTGCGAGAGGTGCCATCACTAATAAGGACTCAGCTAAATGCACCTTCCAAAATACCGTGTTTTCACCTTTAAGCTGGGAATGATGCTGGCAGCTCAACACAACAACAACAACAACAACAACAACAACAACAACAAACAACAACAGAAGCAGAGGCAGCTCCTCAGCCATTGGAATCTTTGGAATATTTTTCTGACATATGCTTGATATATTACAGCTTGTCAAACAAGAATAAAATTCTGATCTGTTGTTTCTTCTGGATTACAAACTGTGATGATGTTATTTTTCTATGGGAAAACAGAGATGACAAAACTAGACGGCTCTGCTGCAAAGTTACATCTTTAACCATTCTGTATCTTCCTCTACTCATGTAGTAAAGACCTGGCCTTATTAAGGCTTAAAGTTTATTATTCAGTAATTTTACAGAAAACAAGGCAATCTGACTGAGTTATTACTAAGTTATAGCAGTGATGAATGGAAGCTTGGAGCTGCTAGGCCCCTTAAATGTAAAGGTTATCATTTAGTTATTTATTTTACCTATTACAGAGTAATTACTATAAATTATTCAGTAACTACTATGATATTAATGTATTGGCAAAGAAATTATGAAAGCAATGTGTGGGCCCAAGTTTAAAGATATACATAAGCATTTTTACCTAATCTCTATCTGCATCTGTAGCATATTGTCAAAGCTACAGAACAACACAGTTGTAGTTAAAAAACAACAGAAAACCTGTTGAATACAAATGCACCTATGCACGCTTCAGCACCTGCCCATTGCCTTCTATTATAAGTGTTTCAAGTCAATAACTAAGTACAGAGAAATGCACTGAAATGATCATATGCTACTGATGCAGCACATAGAGATTACATTGAAAAACAGCCCCAAAATCCAAACTCTGAACACCTTTTTTCAAGAACAAACAAAAACTCATTCATTTTCCAGACAGCTCAGTACTTTGTGCTTAAGCCACTTATTTGGAACCCCCATCTCCTTCAGGAGAGGTGCTTTTACACCCTAGTGATGCGTAGTTAATATTCCGAACTGCGCTAAGCAGAGTTATCTGGGTCATAAAAGCAGTCCAGCACCCTGCTGCCACTAAAAGCTGATTTACAGCGGCCCTGGCCCTCATCTGCATATCGTTAAGGATCGTAATTATTCCCCTTGACGAGCGGCCGTCTCCGCCCGCCTTAGGGACATGTGACCTGGCTCTCCGCAGCTCGGGCTGGGCTTTATGGGAGTGGGCATGGTCGTGGCGGAGAGGGTGTGAGCTCACTGGTCATGTTACAGGGCTCATAAAGCACCTTCACTGGCTAAATACTTAAGAGGTGCCTGACTGCATTCGGTTTGTGTATGCAGAACATTGCATTAACCCATGTGGGCCCACATTCTCATAAGTACACACATTGTAAAAATGATTTGGTGTTTTAACTGTTCAAGTAAGTAATTACTATTTTGAGTTCACTGAACTGCTAGCAGTGAGGTACAGAACAATAAGTAAGTCTTATTTTCTGCAAAATTATTAAAAAAAATGTAAATTCAAGGTTCACAGTAGTTTGTAAATAGTAATTAGTGAATGAAAAGTCTTCAAATCAATTAATAATGATTAATAAACTGAAGAATGAGCTTAGGGAAGTTACAGCCTCAAATGCTCGTTTCTTTTTATTTAAGCGTTTTTAAACTAAATGGTTGATGCTATGATCCAACCCCTACATCCACTGTGATCTCTCTAGGTCTCTCTCACTATGTCATTCTCTCACTCACTCTCTTGCTATCAACCTAATCTCTCTCTCTCTCTCTCATTCTCTCTTCTGTCCTGTTCTCTTTTTTTCCTCTCCTTCCCTCTGTGGCAATGAAATCAACCTGATCTCTCATTCTTAATTTCTCTGTTCCTCTCCCTTATTCTCTCGTTCTCCGTTTTTCTCCACTCATTCTCCCACCTCTCTCTCATTCTCTTTCATTCTCTTGTTTTCTCATTCTCACTCTCTTATCAACCTGATCTCTCTCACTCATTCTCTCATTTTCTCTTTTCTTTTACTCACTCTCTTGTCAACCTGATCTTTCTTGATCTCCCTCTCTCTCACTCACTCTCTCTCTCTCTCTCTCTCAATTTAACTTAAATTTAACACAATTTAATTCTGCAAGCATTGCTGAAATAACAAGAACTAATACTCAGAGATATAAGAAGCTTCAATTACCCCCAAAAAAGACAGCTTGAAAATATAAAAGACCATAAGTAAGACTAACAACATCCCTCTCTCTCTCTGGGTCAGTATGGA